TCGGCTCAAAACCTAGGTATCTGTTTATATAGTAGGTACCTGTAGGGCACCTCCGAATTCCAAATTTAAGGCATCTCGAGCTTCCCCTTCGCTGCCTTCGCATTCAGCCGATCCTCGGCAATGCGCTTGGTGAGAATGCCGCGGGCGGTGGCATTGGCACGCAGCACCTTAGATCCGTCTCTCGAACAGTGGCACCAGCCAACCGCTGAGAAGCCACAGTCAACACTCACGTTGAACTTGATGTGGGTTACAAGTTGCAACTGCAAGAATGGAGCGAGAGACGGAGAGAGAGAGAGAGAGATTTGGACGTCTCAGAAGAGCTTCCTACGCAGCAAGCATGGGGAATGCCAAGCCTTTTGGAGCTAAGAACTATCTCGAGAGCTAAGACCCAGGCAGAGGCCCAGCCGTCTGGACCCAATGGGGCTGTGAGTGGGTCGTCGCAGAGATGCCCTGGAATCGGCTTGCTGCTTAAGAGTGGTGGACCCAAAAAGGCAGTAAACCGCGGACACTAGAAATCTGCAGGGTCGAAGCCCTTAGAGCTGGACAAGCATCGTTCAAATGCTCGGCAAAACATGTTAATACGTGGCATGAGTGGAGGAAGAATAGACTTAACAGCAGATCGCTGACCTGCGGCAGGAAACCAGACTATGAGTTTTGGTGAGACAGGGACTTCGAGGTCTGAGCCCACGCTGAGCATCCTTAGCTAATCCGGCAGTGCGCCCTGAACGCAGCCTGTCGCTCCGCCGCACAGCCAGGGCAGCCCGTGCAGCTGCGACAGAAGCGCCGACCAACTGGCAGGAGCCTCGTTGTGGCCATTAGAGCCGAAACGAGTAACCATCGCTACTTCGATTGCCGCGGCGAGCTCAGTCGCGACGGTTGCTATCGCCACTACTGACTGCTGCCGATGCTGCTCTGGCTGCTGCTACAACGACTGAATAACTAATGCAACACTTCTGGTCCTAGTAGCCATACGGAGTCGTCGTCGTCGTGGTAGTAGTAGTAGTAGTAGTAGTAGTAGTAGTAGTAGGAGCAGTAGTAGCAGGAGTAGTAGTAGGAGTAGGGATAGGAGTAGGAG